TCCCCCTCTCTCCCCATCCCCCTCTCTCCCCATCCCCCTCTCTCCCCACCCCCCCCTCTCTCCCCAGCCCCGCTCTGCAAAACGCGCAGCGCCTGCTCCAGCGTTCCGCTCCCCCCACCCCCCTCCCCTCCACACCCCCGACAGTTACTACGCGCGTGCACAACGACCCGAGGCTTATCCATCCACTCTGCTCCCCACACCCCCGCTTCCCCGCAACCCCGCTCCCCCACCACTCTCTCTCCCCACCCCCCTCCCCTCCGCACTCACGACAGTTACTTCTCGCGTGCACAACTGCCTGCGGCTACCCACTGTGCTCCACACGCCCCCGCTCCTCCGCACCCCCGCTCCCCACCGCTCTCTCCGTCCCGCCATTCCTCCGCAACCCCGACAGTTACTTCTCGCTTGCACAACGAACCGCGCCTGCTCCAGCGTTCCGCCAACAAGCTCCTGCTTTCCCCCTTGCCCTGTTCCCCCCTAAACCGAGCAATTTTGGCCGTCTCAAAACGCGCTTGCTCCACCCTCCTCCGTTCCCTCTGCTCCAGCGTTCCGCCAACAAGCTCTTGCTTTCCCCCGTGCCCTGCCCCCTTTTCCCATCATTTTTGCGACGTACGAACGATTCGCCAGCAGAACGTTTTGCTTCGCTTCGCTTTGCTTCCTCCCCCTCGCTCCCCCATTCTCCCCCCCTCCCTCCCCCTTCTTTACCCCCCAGCCTACCTGCCGTCGAGGCATTTCGCGTCGAACGAGTTATTCGCCAGCAGGACGAGCCGCGGCGTGCTCGGCAGCGCCGGCGGCGGCGGAGGCGGATTTCCCGCGAGTAGCGACAGCAGGTACTGCATAAACGCCCAGACGCCGCTAACATCGATTTTCCAGGCGGCTTTATTTCTAGGAGTATGTATCCTTCCGCTGGACGGTTTAGGAGGCGCCCTACCGTCACTCAAGTTAAATTTCCGGTTGTTCGCGGTGAAAGCATATCCGTTAGCAGCAGTACTGTTATTTCCTGTAGCGCGTGCTCGAAAGGGGGTCATTGTACCATTTGTGATATTTGATCAGCAGAGCGCGTGCTGCCTATGATCGCTGTAGGCGCGCCGCTAAGCGCGAGAATCATTAGTACGAAATTCAGAGTCTTGCGTCGCTACCACAAGGTTAGCGTACTTTTCCTTATTGCGTAGCTTCTAGAAGCATTGTCATAGCAGGAACAAGACTAGCGCACGCGACGTGAGTCGTCCCGTGCTTGTTTATGTTGGTTGGATTCGAACGTGACGGTTCCGCGAGTCGCGTCCATTCTTGTTTGGTCAGGGCGCATTCGGGATTCCAGTGGAAGGAGGCTCGGAGGGCCCATATCAGAAAGCCACTTGGGGGGGAAAGAAAAGGAGCGCCTGAAGAAGCCTCGGAATGACGACTCACGGAACGCTTGACTGAGGTCGGTCAGGATATCCAAATGCGCCCTCTATAAGCCTCGAGTTCCGAACCAGCGCAGCTTCCGATATTCGGTCGGTACCACCGACACTTCCGCGCAGCTCTCCTTCACCTATTTGTACTTCGTGTGTCTCGTGTGGTTCGCTACTGAGACCGGGTTACATAATTCTCCCATGAAAAGAGGTTCGGATTCGCAAAGTCTGAACGCGAGGCGAGGAACTGGCAAGGTCGTGGAAATCTGGCTGGACATGTATTTCCGAACCAAGAGTTCAGTTTGTACGCGATTCAGTACAGACACATGATTGAGCTATGGTTCATTATCATCAGCAAACTGGATTTAGTAGCCAACCCAAGCTTGGTGATGGTGGGTGTTGAAGGTGCTAAGCAATAAATTGAGTTCCGTTCATACATGTGTGGAAATCAAGTATACTTCAAGTAATACGTTACTCACGCAATTGTAAATAGCGTGCTTCTGTTTTCCCTCGCATCTCTCTTTGCCACAACATTTTCACGAGTATCGACCACTGCACAACGAAGGAGAATTCACAATGGGAAATGCAGGACCAAGACATGAGAATCCCAGGACCTTCGTTTCCCTACCCCTCTCACACATCTACTGCCAATCAAAGGCTGAAGCCCTAAATGCCTTTCTAAGTCACATGCTGGTTCCAGTCCAGAACAAAACCTTATTTCTCTTCCATAACCCTGCATCTACTGCAAATCTATGGCCGGAGCCATGAAGGGCCTTCTGGAAAGCATGCAAGAGCAGCCCAGCCCAATCAACGGCTACAATCCACGTGTTCGAGAGCAGGTGCACCTCATCCGATTGCGTCAAGATTCTTATGCAACAGAGCGAGGGGTCTTGCAAGGCACGAGCTCCAATTGAGCGAGGGGATTTAGAGAGCGCAGGCAAGATTCTTATGCAACAGAGCGAGGGGGTCAAGGCATGGTGGGTTCTGCGAGCGCAGGCAAGATTCTTATGCAACAGAGCGAGGGGGTCAAGGCATGGTGGGTTCTGCGAGCGCAGGCAAGATTCTTATGCAACAGAGCGAGGGGGTCAAGGCATGGTGGGTTCTGCGAGCGCAGGCAAGATTCTTATGCAACAGAGCGAGGGGGTCAAGGCATGGTGGGTTCTGCGAGCGCAGGCAAGATTCTTATGCAACAGAGCGAGGGGGTCAAGGCATGGTGGGTTCTGCGAGCGCAGGCAAGAGCTGCGCCCAGGACCAGCAAGGTAGTGAAGAGACGGGAGACAGCTGCAGCAGACCCTAAAAACGGAGAGTGGGAAGGGAAATGGGAGCAAGGGAAGGAAGGAGGGAAAGCCAGGAAAACGAGAGTAAAACGAGTGGGTGTAGACACATTGTGTTGGGCAGGGTGGGTAGGCAGTAAAGGGGCAGCAGAGAAAGGAGTACGAGTAGCAAATTGTTCCATGCTGCGTACCGGGCAAAGAGGCGATATTGCTTGGGAAAACAAGTGCGTTGACATAGAAATAATCCTTCTGGGCCTCCTGGGTCGCTGCGACAGCAGACGAGGTACCCGCAGCAGACCCAGATGCCAAGTAACAAGTTGATATTGCTACGTACCTGGCAGGGAGGCGATATTGCTTGGGAAAACAAGTGCGTTGACGTAGAAATAATCCTTCTGGGCTTCCTGGATTGCTGCGACAGCAGACGAGGTACCCGCAGCAGACCCGGATGTGAGCGGGTCGGCACCGGAAATTAGTCCCGTGTTGCTGCTGTTGCACTTGAAGTTCAAATTGTTACCGTTGAACGCGGTCTTGATGGTGTACCCATTTGCGTTACACTGCCAGGTCAACATCGGGCGATTGGGGGAGGGCGAGAAGGAAGCAGAGAAGCAATACCATCAGACAACCAAAGCTACTACTAGAACACGTAAGGAGAAACCTGGTGGTTGTAGTAGTATCAGCAGAGGCAGCCGCAGCTATGAGAGCAGCTAGTTTTGGGGAGCACCTGGAGGGGTAATGATAGCACGCACAGCACAACGATCGAGTCCAATGCCATCGAATTCTTTACAAAAAAAAAAAAACCGGGACGCTGTGCAATCCGCGCCGCAGCGTACCTTGCCATCGATGTCCACAACGGTGACCTTCGACTCCGCAGTGTGGAACGACATCAGGTTCAGCAGAGCAGTCCTTTAGGGCAGCCCTCGCAGTTCAAGTCGACTCAAGCGTACCTTACCATCGAGGTCCACAACGGTAACCTTCGACTCCGCCGTGTGGAACGACATCAAATTCAGCAGAGCAGTCCCAACAGAGAAGTCTTCTCAGTTTAAGTCAAATCAAGCGTACCTTGCTATCGAGGTCCACAACGGTGACCTTTGACTCCGCCGTGTGAAACGACATCAGGTTCAGCAGAGCAGTCCGCGCGGTTCAAGTCGACTCAATACGGGGCGTACCTTGCTGTCGAGGTCCACAACGGTAACCTTCGACTCCGCCGTGTGGAACGACATCAGGTTCAGCAGAGCAGTCCGCGCAGCTTCCGACATCGGCGGCGGCTTGGTCGTTCTCGCGTTGCACGCCTTCGCCTTGGCCGCCAGAGCCGCAAGCTCGCTCGTCCTAATCGTCTTCTTGGAGAAATCCAGAGCGTCTTTCACCTTGTTACCGCTCGCCACCGCATCCAACGCCTCGTAGAGCGCGCCGCTGCTGCGGGTGTTCTTGTACCCCGCCAGCGCGTCGCTCCACGCCTGGTTCGTCGGCAGAAAGATGGTTCTCCCGCTTGGGAACTTGCACGCGGCGTTCGCGAGGTAATACAAGACGTAAAAGGACTTAGACACGTCCGGGAACTTGATAACGCCGCTAGGGACCCCGAACCAGGTGCAGAGGGCCCGCGGGCGGCGACCCGGACGGCGAGGCAGCTGCAATCACCTCGTCTAGGGAATAGTCTTGCATGTAGTCGTCTTCGTAGTAGGTGTCCAAGTTGGGTGGGACGTTCGACCCGGAGTTTGAACCAGGAGCGGATTGCGAACCAGGTGCGGACCCCGAACCAGGTGCAGACCCCGAACCAGGAGCGGACCCCGAACCAGGAGCGGACCCCGAACCAGGAGCGGACCCCGAACCGGGTGCGGACTCCGAACCAGGTGCAGACCCCGAAGCGGGTGCGGGCCCCGAACCAGGCGCGGACGGTGAACCGGGAGCAGACTGCGAACTGGGAGCGGACCCTGAGCCGGGAGCAGATCCCGAACCAGGTGAGGACCCCGAACCAGGTGCGGACTCCGAAGCGGGTGCGGACCCTGAACCAGGAGCGGACGGCGAACCAGGGGCAGGCTGCGAACCGGGTGCAGACTCCGAACCAGGAGCGGATCCCGAAGCCGGTGCAGACCCTGAACTGGGAGCAGACTCCGAAGCGGGAGCGGACCCCGAACCAGGAGCGGACCCCGAAGCCGGTGCAGACCCTGAACTGGGAGCAGACTCCGAAGCGGGTGCGGACTGCGAACCAGGAGCGGACCCCGAGCCGGGTGCAGGCCCCGAACCAGGAGCGGACCCTGAAGCGGGTGCGTACTCCGAACCGGGAGCGGTCCACGGACCAGGAGGGGGTTCCGAACCTGGAGCAAAAACCAGCCCGGGTATGTATTGCAGAGCCCGCCGGCTCGCGCCCACCATGATGAGATCATGATGATCCGCGGGGTTCGGCGCGGCGGATCCGCGACCGGCAGCGAGCGCTGGAAGCGCGGCAGGTGCAAGGACCAGGAGCGCGGCGCAGGCCACGAGGAACACGAAGCGAGCCGGATTAGCGATGGGGTGAGCGACGGCGGCGGCGGTGGGAGTGGCGCGGGAAGCCATGATGACCGAGCGACGGCGGTACTGGGGGCACTGAGGAAAAAGGTCAACCTCCTCTTGCCAAGTCCAGTGGGCTATAGGAAGTAGAGTAAAAGGCGGTCAACACGCCGTGAAGGAAGTAGAGTGAAGGAAGGTTTCTACGCTGGGACTTGAGGGCGTTCATCAACTGAAAGTTGCTGCTGCTGTGCTCGCACATGGGCCGTTTAAGTAGTAAAAAAGGAGCAGCACGGGTTACGGCCGTGACCTTCCCAGCTCGCGGGTTGCCTCCCGCCCCTCCCCGTGCCGTGCTCCCCTGCGCTTCCGTCTGCGGAAGCCCTTCGGATTGTGCGCGCCTGCCATTTGCGCGCGCATCTCCCTTCCCGTGCGCCGCGGCGGAGCCTCATTGGCGGGGACTCCGCCCGCAACATGGCAGAATTAGCGAAAACACGCGCGCAGCAGATTTTTGAGGCGCCTCAAAACTCGGACGATCTAGGGAGCAGCGCGACGGACATCGAAGCTCCGCTGATTTTCTTCCGTCAAATCGTGCCGTGCCAACACGGTGTAGAACGGCAATTATTGATGCCCGTCAAATGCGCCGTGCCTGCACGGGGTAGCACGGCGATTATTGATGCCCGTCAAATGCGCTGTGCCTGCACGGGGTAGCACGGCGATTATTGATGCTGCTCAAGCGGAAACACGCGGTCCGCGCGGAAACCCCTACTTCCAAGCGGAAATACTCGACTTAAAACGCGGAAGCGGTACTGACGCGCGTCAGCAGTGAACTCAGCGTGTGAAATTAAGAGCGGCGCTGAGTGCACGCTGAGTCAGCTACAGCAGTTGCGATCTCGTACGAGTTGACCTAAGGCGGCTGAATAAGTCTGCTGACCTGCCTGGAATCTCCACTACTACTACACGTACCACTACTATTGCTGATATGTTGCGTGCCGTTGCTATGTCGATATTCGAGAATCGTCATCTGGTGTTTTGAATCTGCTGCTTGCTTGGTGAAGCGTAACTGTTGGTGAAGTCTGGTTTGCGTGGGCAATGGGGGGATTATGAAGCCGCACAGGACCACCAGAGTCGAGTTTGAAGAGAGCATTGAAATCGAGACATACGCCACAGTTCACCTGGTGACTGAAGCGAGCATTGCGCTTCGAGAGCTTTCGTCAGCTTCGACACGGGCAGAAACAATTCAACCATGTTACGGAGATAACATTTGTACCACATTGCTGGGTGGCAACATTGGCTGTAATGCGGTAATCAAGGGTGCCAGCTGGAGAAGATATAAGTTCGAAGATAAAAGAAGTTCATCAGATTGAAATTGGGTAGAACAAAGAAGTTCCCCCACAAAATCAACCCCACAATTGGGTAGAACAAAGAAGTCACAACGGATATTTGCAGGCTGAGTCAGCCTGTTTCATCCATTGCTGACAGGGATACAAAATTTCGACACGGCGCAAAAAAACTCAGCGTGAGTCTCCGATAAAGTACACTCCAGCAATCCTCAATCAGTGAATTAAAATTTGACGTCTTACATTCTTCACATATCACGTTGAGAAGCTCTGCAAGGGAATGCACAACACTGTGCAGTTAAGAAAATGAGGTACTTTCATGCTTCTTCAACTACATGTGCCTACAATCGGGGAAACCGTAAGTGGGACGCTGCAAGTGACAGACCCATCTCTACGCCGACAATTTCGTGCATGTGCATTTGCTGCGGGCGAAGTGCTCCAGTTTGCCAGCGTAAGCTGATTCGCCGCCTCCGTTCTCTGCACGCATATTTCTTCGCAACAGCCCATTCGCGAGAGTTCACCACAAGAACTGTTTGGGCGGTGGGGTTGTGTCGAGGAGGGTGGTTGCGAAAGTGTGCTCGCGACAAGCCCCAATTGGCGAGTGGGCGAGCTTGACGACAGGAGCCACCACCGCCAAGGAAGTTGACCCTTCCAATTCCATAGGCTTTCCTCTGAAATGCTGTTGGCGAGTACCGAGTAACCGCGACTTTAGTAGCCTCACCTCGCCTCGCTTGCGGAGGGTCAACTGGTAACTGCGCTGGCGATTGTTCTCGCCTTCAACCTCGCCGCGCCGCAAGTGGATCACATCGCGTCGCAATGTCTCGCGCCGCCAGCGAATTGCGAGCACCACCACACCACAGGCAAGTGAGGAATGAGTTGTGCGCGAGGAATGAGTTTGTGCAGGAGGAATGAGTTGTGCGCGACATTCTTCCCCACCTCCCCGCAATCTGGCATCTACAAAAACGCACTCAATCAAAACCAGAAACATTCAGCTCACACCAATCAATACATCTGACAAGCAATCAGTTGCTCTTTTCCACAGCAGGCTCCAGATTCCCGAGACCTCTCAGTCTCATTCCATTCCGTCCGAATTTTAACATGGCGTTTTCCAAGGTTTCCCTCTTCGTTCTTCTCATAGCCGCCGCTTGCGTCCTCTGCGTCTCAGGCCAGACCGAGCCCTATCTTGTCACCAAGGCCCGTCTGACCCGCGCAGCCGCCGTCAGCGCAACCAACGACTACGACAAAGCCAACGCGCTCGTTGCGCAGCGCGCGCAGGAGCTCAACGATGCGAACAATGCCCTGGCGGACGCCGCTGCGGCGTATAACGACGCGTTGCCCCTCGTGAACCGCCTCAAGGCGACCCTCGCGCAGAAAATATCGGCGAAGGACAAGACCGCTTCCGTGATTCCCGGTCTGCAGGACAACCTCGATGCAGCAAAGGCCGGCCTTGCTAAGTCCAACGCCGCGTCGGGGACGGATAGCACCGATGCGCTTGCAAATGCGCAGCAACGTGTAAACATGACGGCGCAGCAGGTTGACCGTCAGAAGGAAACTCTTGTTAGCGTTAACTCGCTTGTCGAGAAAGCGGCTGCTAGGGTCGCCGCCAATCCCAACATGACGGCTGCGGAGGCGGATGCTGCTCAGGCTGCGCTCGATGATAAGACGGCGCTGCAGACGCTCGCGAAGCAGATTCTGGACGACATGGTCGCACAGGCGAAGAGCGCGCAGCAGGCGCTGGCGAAGGCGCAGGACGCGGCGAGCAACCCCGACTCGACGGGCTCCGCGCCGGGGGGCCAATCGGCGGTCGACGCGGCGCAGGCGGCGCTGGACGCGGCGGTGAAGGCGGACAACGACGCGGCGGCAGCGGTGGCGCAGGCGACGAGCGACGTGAACGACGCCCTTGCTTCGGTTCCCGCGAAATCCGCGGCGGTGAATAGCGCGAAGATTGCGCAGAGCAAGGCTGTGATTGCGAAAACGAGCGCGGACAACAATGCTGCGGCGATGAAGAGCAGGATGGACGCTGCTGTGGCTGTTGCTGAATCTGCTGAGTCTGCCGCGAAGAATGCTGGTTACTCTTGGACGTGGTAACTCCCTTTCGCGTCAAAGTAATTGAGGCGCGTCAAAGCTTGCTGGAACGATGAAGACTAGGATGAACGCTGCTGTGGGTATATTGCTGGCGTTGGTGAGGCTGCTGCGAAGACTGCTGGTTACACTTGTGACATGTAACTCCCATTCGCGAACGTGGAGTGAACTTCGAAACGATGCTTAGAAAATTGGAAAGATAGATCCTGAATGCATTGCAGATGAGGCCTCTTGCTTCTGATTGCATTGCATAATAAATCTTCCAATCTTGTGCCCCGTTGCTTTTGATTTCAGTGTTAATGTCATGTACGGTTTCTCCCAAACACCTCAGCTGAACCTCATGGTAATTAACACCCCAGATGAGGGCAGGTGACGTTAAAGATTGGGACAATTACAAACGAATCTACTGCCGCTGGTATGCTCACAAATGCAATGCTGCAACAAAGACTTGTTGGAAGACACACAGACCCAATCATCCAACCCATCCCAAAAAAATTTGTCGCAAAAAGATGCCGCAAGGTCACCTCCGGGATACCTACCTGTGGGTAACCCAAAGAATTCAGTGTAGGTTTTCTCGAGGTCACCTCAAAGTTCGTTGTGACCTCAAGGTTACCTACAGAGGTAACCTACAAGAAACTGCCATGACACCTCGATGATTCCGCTCCCACGTTTCTGGAGCCAATCAAACGCCACTGTCGATCGCGACACGAACATTAATCCGAATAGTACACTCTTACAGTACACTACATTAATTCGAATTACAGGTTACTTATGCGGGTCGATATAATTATCATTCAATTGTTTTTCTCTGTTAATAACCCAGCAACTTCTATAGAAATCACAAAAGGCTCGGATCAAATTTATAAAATGTGACGTACAAGCAGTATAAACTAGCGTACGCTGCACAAGAATAAGATCACTGACTCCCTTTCTAACAATGAATCAACTAGCACAAAAGGCACCTTAGAATGAATGATCACATGGCATCTACATGTTCTCTTCTAGGGTCACATGGCTTCAGAATTAGCTCATATTGATTATTGCCTGTTGGAACAAGAGAACATCAAGAAGCAGATAAATGTAAGCAGATGGGAGCCCAAAACAAGGCACTGCATAGCAGGAAAGAAAAACAAAGAAAGAAAAAACGTTACAATTACCTTAACTCCACATCACAGCTGTCTTTTTGCCATAGCTAAAAAAATCGTCGTCTAGAACGCCTCGTAAGCTTGTGTCTGCAGGGGGACGGTGCAATGAACTTTGACAACGAGCAAGATGAGCAAAACGACGACAAGAAACACGGAATGACCCGCGCTGATCCTGCAACCATCACAGCGCCTTTGGAAAAAAAGGTACACAACGACGACAAGAAGCAACACGGAATGAGTGGCGCTGATGCGCAACCCTCGGACAGCATTTTAAGACAATCAAACGAATAGCTTACCTTACGAGCACCATTGAAAGCTGAACAGCGACTTCAATGGCGGATTGAGATGATGGCGAAAGAATTACATCGCTCATACCACCAGTAATCTGCCATGAAGAATAAAACACGTAAAAAGAAAAGGAAAGAAAGGAAAAAAAAACAGGTTAAACACTTGTAACTAGACCTCTGCAATCCAGAAACTACCATCACGTAGCTAGTGACCTAATCTATGCTGCGTGCATGCGTAGCAGTCAGGAAACAATATGCCATGCAGCGACAATCACGGAGAGAGGGAGATATGACGGTTAAGTTGGCGAGATTGATGCATTGACAAGAAGAATGAGAGTACCTGTGAAGGAGCGTAGTAAAGTACGTGGCGAACTTCCTGTGTGCTGAAGTGACGAGGAAATCTGTGATTGGTCAGCGATATTCTCCTTGCTTCTCAACGAAACTTATCAAAGTACACCCTGATATGGTGAGGCTCGTTAGTGGAATCAGGCCTTAACATTGCCGCTGATATAACATGCTGTAACATAAACGTGGTTGGGATCAGCTTCGGCTGCCGAAACGGATCGAGCAAACCAGGTGATTAGCCTCGTTCCGAAGCACTTTGTGTTAGCCCGAGGTAACCTCAGAATTCCCTGCATCCTGATTCGTCGAATTTTTATTCTCGATTCTGAACGATTCGGTGACTAATTTCGCAAGTGTCGTTGATGGCCTAATGTTTCCTGTTGGCATCTTGGAGGCAACTTTGGGGTAACGTAGCGAGCGTTGCCCCAAGGTATCCCACAATTCCGCACCCCTTTCGCCATTCGAATTTTTGGGATGCCCTCAAAAACCTACCACCAACGTAGCGGCTTGCTGTCAAACTCAGCAAGGTAGGAGAACTTGAGGCACTAGCGTCTCCAAGCTTTAATCTTGGTTGCATTCGTGGTACGCACTTCAATGACGAGGGTTACATCGATGGACTCAGCATGCATCCACTTGAACCAGCGTCTACTACTTATGCGATGCTACTGCAGCCTTACCACTGAGATGCTGCTGGTGACAGCTATGTGGCTGTATAATGAGTACCTATTTTACTTGTAGCCTAAGGGCGTGTGCCCTTTGGCGCAGATTGTACAATTCATCTTCTTTGTTTCAATTTTAGCGAATGAGCATCCGTCGACCTATAGTCGACTATCTAAATGTTTGATTGTCAAATTGCATTTTCATCTTTTGCGTCAAGGACATGGCACCTTACCTTCGAAGAGAAGGGCCCGAGTCGCACTCAACCTTTTGGGTTACTCGGTACGGTAAAATAGTGTGTATGATCCATACGATGTTACGATGACCGTTGCAAAATTCACAGATTCATTGTGCGTGTACAGAGAACACACAATTGGATAAACTTTTATGTGAAAACTCAATAGTAAGCTCTACCTCTTGAATTTCCAAATACTTAGCTCTACTTCACAAACTTCTCTAACAGCATCGAAGTAAGAAATTTAGAACCGTTTTCAGCTCCGTGAAAATTCGATCCTGCGTGGATAGATCATGCAAAAACAGAAAGCGGTGACGCAACCTAACGGATTTCGCGAAATTGGTTACCATTTCTCGAAATTCTTCAACAAATGACACACGCATTATTGGTCGCCTCACCTTGCCTCGCTTCGGGACGGGAGGGTCAACTGGCAATTGCGTTGGCGATTGTGGTCGCCTTCCACCACGTCGCGCCGCACCTGGAACACATCGCGTCGCAATGTCTCGCACCTCATGCGAATTGCGAGCACCACCACGCCACAGGCAAGCGAGGGAAGAATTGAGAGCGACACTCTTCCCCACCGCCCCACAATCTCGCAGCTACAAAAACGCACTCGCTTCCACAATCTCACTCAGAAGCACTCATCCACAGTACAAGCACCACTCCAGCTATACAATTCCGTAGCTCGTTGCCACTGCAGCCCCGATTTGCTGAAACCTCGCAGTCCCATACCAAGCTGAACTCAATCATGGCATACTCCAAAGTTTCTCTCCTCGTGCTCCTCGTAGTCGCCGCTTGCGTCCTCAGCGTTTCTGGACAGAGTGAGCCGTACCTAGTCACCAAGGCCCGTCTGACCCGCGCAGCGGCCGTCAGCGCCACCAACGACTTTAACAAAGCCAACGCGCTCGTTGCGCAGCGCGCTCAGGAGCTTAACGATGCGGATAAAGCCCTCGCAGACGCCGCTGCCGCATACAACGACGCGCTACCGCTTGTGAACCGCCTCAAGGCGACCCTCGCGCAGAAACTAGCAGCCAAGGACAAAACCGCCTCCGTGATTCCCGGCCTGCAGGGCAACCTCGATGCCGCAAATGCAGCCCTTGCCAAGGCCAACGCCTCAACGGGAACCGACACGGTCGATCTTGCATCCGTGAAGCAACGTGCAGACATGACGGCGCAGCAGGTTGACCATCAGAAGGAAGCTCTCGTGAGCATTAACGCGGCCGTCGCGAAGGCGACTCAGGGCACCGCTAACCCTAACATGACGGCTGCGGAGGCCAATGCTGCTCAGTCTGCGCTCGCCGATAAGACGGCCATGCAGACGCTCGCGAAGCAGATTTTGGACGACATGGTCTCACAGGCGAAGAGCGCGCAGCAGGCGCTGGCGAAGGCCCAGAACGCGGCGAGCGACCCCGCGACTTTGGCGGCGTGCCAATCGGCGGTCGAAGCGGCACAGGCGGCGCTGGACGCGGCGGTGAAGGCGGACAACGACACGGCGGCGGCGGTGGCGCAGGCGACGAGCGACGTGAACGACGCTTTGGCGTCGGTTCCGGCGAAATCTGCGGCGGTGAATAGCGCGAAGATCGGGCAGAGCAAGGCTGTGGCGGCGAAGGCGAGCGCGGACAATAATGTTGCGGCGATGAAGACCAGGATGGACGCTGCTGTGGCTGTTGCTGAATCTGCTGAGTCTGCTGCGAAGACTGCCGGTTATAACTGGACGTGGTAACTCCCTTTCGCCGACTTTTGAGGCGCTTCAGAACTCTCTTAGGCAATAAAGACCAGGATGGACGCTGCTGTGGTTATTGCTGAATTTGCTGAGGCTGCTTCAACGACTGCTGGTTACACTGCTGGGTATTGCTGGATCCGAGGGTATTACTGAGTCTCTGGTAACTCCCATCATTCGAGATGATGATTAGGAGATTGGAATGATAGGTCCTGGATGCACTGCAGGTGAGACATCTGGCATGTGATAGCATTGCGCTCTAATAAATCTTCCAATCCTGTTCTCCGTTGCTTCTAATTCCAGTATTGCAGTTACGGTTTCTCCCAAATACCTCAACGGAATCTTGTGGTAAATGATAAGAGAAAGAAAACGCAGGGCAACAATGATCCTTGGGCTTGATGGGACATTGGGGAAGCCTGGGGTTGAACGGGTTGCTTCCGCAAAAGAAATTGCGTGCCCTGCGATGAGATTTGGTCCTTGTTTGGTGCGATTATCGCGCCGCGGAACATTTCAAAGCACCGTTGAGAGCGGTTCGAACAGCTCGAATCGTTCCAGCCCAGGTTCGATATGAGACCAAATTCGGCTTCACTTTCGGACATGCGTTTTGGTTTTGGCACCTGTATATGGAGATTATGCTTTATTAAATAACGTTAGTATTTTTCATACACAAAGTCATGGAGACCACGGCAAAGCATTCTGAATTATCTGTTTTAAACTCTCAAATTTTCATCTATCTTTATAATGCTAAAAGGTTCGCAACTTCTTGTGGCCAGAGGTTTGTCATTTGTTGGAGGTAAAGCACAGAAACATCACTCATATACATGAGTTCCAGTGTACAATTACCGTTACGTTAGCGAGTTAGATTTAAAGCTTGACAATTCTCAGAAAAATGGCGGGAATGGTTGCTTCTGAGCAGGCCCAGAAGTTCCCTTCTCGCATCGCTCTGCCGAATCGCGATTTGCGTTATCTAGATTCGCCAGTACAATTTGAGATTTCGTTCGCTGGCTTAGACCGAGTCGCCAGCAAAATTCGCTTAGTTCCTGGGCGCAATTTTACGTTCCCGAAACATCAGGCCGGCACAACGCGGTGAAAGAACGAAACCGTTTCCCAGCGCGTATCACCGTTTTCAGCTGGATATGCAACTCCTACATCGTGGCAGGATCAGGTGTGTAGAACAGCCAACGCAGATTCTGCGCTTTGCCGCAACTTGCGGGGACTATCAGGCAACTCGAGCATCACTATCTCCCATATTTCTTCACAGCGCGCATCATATAAGACACAGACAGTCAGGGCTCTACGGCATGTTTCTCACTGCGGCTGTAGTGGCTTTCTGCCTGATAAACCCGAGTGGCTTAGTAGTAGTAGCTAGAATACTGGCAAAGATTAACTTCGAGTTGAAGCTAACTTATGATGGGCTCATTCACCGAGCTTCGAGCACGCACTGCAACGACTAGTAGCGGTACTGTTTTTAACGGGTTCAACCCTGGATTCAGCACACCCGCTGGACTGCCATATGAGGCGGCATCTAGAGGAATGATAGATCCTACTAGGACAGGTCCTACTAGGGCAGGTCCTACTAGGACAGGTCCTGCTGGTAGTAATAATAGTACCAGCAGTAATGCGGGTCGGAAGATTAGGTCCAGCGGCGTCGCGGTGTTCCTGCATTACCTGATGTCGTTAATTGCGGGAAAAACGCTTTCGCCTCCGGAAAAACCGCCGGCCAAGCCGATGCCGCCGGCGCCGCCGGCCAATCCGCGGCTCGTTTTGCTGGCGAATAACTCGTTCGACGCGACGACGGAAGGTAAGATATGGAGCGGAAAGGGTCGGGAGACGATGGGGATGGGAGGGGGAGAGGGGAGGGGCCGGAGACGCAGGAGAAAGGGAAGAGAAGCGATGCAATTTGTTCTCCTGGCAAATAGCCCGTTCGATGCGAAATGCCTCGACCCCTCCCCCTTCCCCTCCCCTTTACCACCCCCCACCTCCCTCTGCCTCTCTCCCCTCCCCTTACCTTACCACTCCAGCTTTATATTATTTCCGGGGGGGACCTGGATGCCACGTGGCACTGCCAAAACCTCTCCCTCCCTCCACTTTCCCCTCCTTTCTTCCCACCCTCCTACTCACCCCAGCCCCCAGGGCACTATTTCCGGGCGGGCACGGGGATCGGCAGGAGCATGTGGCACATCTACCACATTGTCTCACTCTCCTTTGCCCACATTCCCCTCCACCACATTTCCCTCCACCTCTTCACCCCAGCCCCCCAGGGTACTATTTCCGGCCGGGCACGGGGATCGGCAGGAGCATGTGGCACATCTACCACATTGTCTCACTCTCCTTTGCCCACATTCCCCTCCACCACATTTCCCTCCACCTCTTCACCCCAGCCCCCCAGGGTACTATTTCCGGCCGGGCACGGGGATCGGCAGGAGCATGTGGCACATCTACCACATTGTCTCACTCTCCTTTGCCCACATTCCCCTCCACCACATTTCCCTCCACCTCTTCACCCCAGCCCCCCAGGGTACTATTTCCGGCCGGGCACGGGGATCGGCAGGAGCATGTGGCACATCTACCACATTGTCTCACTCTCCTTTGCCCACATTCCCCTCCACCACATTTCCCTCCACCTCTTCACCCCAGCCCCCCAGGGTACTATTTCCGGCCGGGCACGGGGATCGGCAGGAGCATGTGGCACATCTACCACATTGTCTCACTCTCCTTTGCCCACATTCCCCTCCACCACATTTCCCTCCACCTCTTCACCCCAGCCCCCCAGGGTACTATTTCCGGCCGGGCACGGGGATCGGCAGGAGCATGTGGCACATCTACCACATTGTCTCACTCTCCTTTGCCCACATTCCCCTCCACCACATTTCCCTCCACCTCTTCACCCCAGCCCCCCAGGGCACTATTTCCGGCCGGGCACGGGGATCGGCAGGAGCATGTGGCACATCCACCTGCCGCACGGGGGGTGGTGCCGCAATGCCAACGAGTGCGTCGGCAGGAGCAAGACGGCTTTAGGCAGCAGCACCTTCTACCCTGAAGACCCCACCATCGCGGTATATTGCTCTCTCCCTTAAATCCCTTTTCTTCCCATTAGCGAGTGCGTCGGCAGGAGCAGGACAGCTTTAGGCAGCAGCACACTTAACCCTGAAGACCCCACCACCGCGGTATGCTGCTCTCTCCCTTTTAAAGCACCCCCCCTTCTTGATCCCGTTCCACATTAAAGCCCCATCTCTCCCCAGCCGCCACTCGGCAGCAGCACCTTCTACCCTGAAGACCCCACCACCGCGGTATGTTGCTCTCTCCCTCGTTACATCGCCCCTCCCCTCCCCCCCAAGGCACCACATGGAAGCAGCACCTTCTACCCTGAAGACCCCTCCATCGCGGTATGCTTATCTCTCCCTTAGAGCCCCCCTTCCATTGATTCCGTTCCCCCGTAAAGTCGCCCTCCCCCCCCCCCCAAGGCACCACATGGCAGCAGCACCTTCTACCCCAAAGACCCCACCAACGCGGTACGTTGCTCTATCCCTCTTTTCTTTCCGGGCTAAGCACCACATGGCAGCAGCACCTTCTACCCTGAAGACCCCTCCATCGCGGTACGCTAGTCCCTCTCCGTTGAATCCCCCCTCTCCCTTGAAGCCCCTCTTTCCCTTGATTTCATTCCGATCTTAAAGCCACCTGTACGGCGAGCACCAGCAGCAGCATATTCTACCCCTGCCGATCCCACCAACAGCAGCAACCTCCTTTGCTCCGTTTGCTCTTCTCTCCCATTCCCCTCTCCCACTCCCACCTTCAGGCCGTCCCCTCCCCGGGTTTCTACAGCATTCTCAGCAGCAACAGCAGCATCAACCCGCCTTTACTCCCTCCCCCATGCCCTCCCACCCACCCCAATCCCTTTCCCCTCCCAACCCTTCCCCCAGCCGCTCAATCCGGGTTTCTACAGCATTCTCAGCAGCAACAGCACCATCAACCCTCTTTTACTCCCTCCCCCATGCCCTCCCACCCACCCCAATCCCTTTCCCCTCCCAACCCTTCCCCCAGCCGCTCAATCCGGGTTTCTACAGCATTCTCAGCAGCAACAGCACCATCAACCCTCTTTTACTCCCTCCCCCATGCCCTCCCACCCACCCCAATCCCTTTCCCCTCCCAACCCTTCCCCCAGCCGCTCAATCCGGGTTTCTACAGCATTCTCAGCAGCAACAGCACCATCAACCCTCTTTTACTCCCTCCCCCATGCCCTCCCACCCACCCCAATCCCTTTCCCCTCCCTACCCTTCCCCCAGCCGCTCAATCCGGGTTTCTACAGCATTCTCAGCAGCAACAGCACCCTCAACCCGCCTTTCTACAACTGGAACCTCGTTCGCCTCATCTACTGCGACGGTGGCGGCTACGCGGGCATGGCAGGGAGGGAGTCTGGATATCGACAACAGCACGGCGATTTATCTGGATGGGTGGAACATCGTTCAGGCTGTGATTGAAGGTGAGTGAGTGGGAAGGGAAGGAACCTCGCTCGTCTCGTTTACTGCGACGGTGGTGGCTACGCGGGCACGGCAGGGAGGCTGGATATCAACAGCAACACAGCCATTTATCTGGATGGGTGGAACATCGTTCAAGCGGTCATAGAAGGTTCGTTTCTGCCGCTTAAGGTTCGTTTCTGCCGCTTAAGGTTCGTTTCTGCCGCTTGAGGTTCGTTTCAAACGCGTGAGCTTGAGGCGCCTCTTTCATCCGTCTCTCAAATTCCCCTCCTTGGTTTTATCACTCCATTGTTTCTTTGTCTCATGAGACCCTGTCTTTGCCTTGCCTCACATGATGCAACTTACCCACCCTCACCCTTTCTTTGACAAATTTTCGCCCAAACGCAATCAGATCTGAAAACGAATCGTGGGATCAAATTTGCAGATCAGATTCTCTTGGTGGGTAGCTCAGCGGGCGGCCAAGCAGTCGTGGCTCTCTGCGATCGCATCGCTGCCGCCTTCTCCTGGGCGCCCTCCAAATGCATCGCC